GCCATTATAATTGATGCATATTTTACTGTGCAATCAGGGTCTTGTCTGCTCATTTCAGCTCGACTCAACAATGCTTACCCTTACATTTTTAAGTCGTGCATTTTTCCAAAAAATATTGACTGTTCTTAAAAACATTGGCTAATGTCTAATATATGCAAGATTCTCCTTTAGAATAATTGTATTTTCCTTATTGAAACATACTTTCTGCATTACATATTTGGTGGAAAAAAGACTGCATAATTATAACACTACGCACTGTGTCTATAAAGCAGTGTAATACAAATAAATCTCTCTGCTATGCCACTGAATGCCATAAGTGCAATATGTTAGTAGGTTTCTTTCAGAGGAAATAGATTTGAAAGTGAACTTAATGCAATTAAAAAAACAAGTTTACTCACAAGCAAAACCCTCTGGCACATGTTCCTTTGCATGGAGGTAGAGAAATTCACCTTTTAATCCTACAATATTTCTCTATCTTTTGTGTATTCTACCCACCCTTTAAGATATAATGCAACACTTTTGACGGGAGGGCCTAAAGTTAGGGTTAGGATGGATTGGTTAGAGGACTTCCAGATGGTCAAGTGTTATAATAGTTTAGATTATTTCCAATAGTCGGCAAGTCAGTAATAAGGTGGCACAAATTTAAAGTAATTAGAGAAGCAGATAAAAAGTTTAAAAATTTCTCTACACAAAAATGGTAGAAATGTAGAATTTACTGCTACAAACAGTTGTTGAGGCAGAATCTGTCAATTATTTAAAAGTGAATTGGTTAGATGGTGGATAATGAGGAATATTAAAGGTATGGCAAGAACAGACAGATTGGATCAAGTGTCCCATATGTTAAAAATAAATGGGCAGATTTGTTTGGCCGAATGGCCTGTTTTTGTGCTGTGACATTCTACACCAAATTAAATAAGATTTTGCCTATTTGACGAAGAATCTGTAAAATATTTGTTGATAGCTTTTTCAAGATTTATTACAGAATGTTTTACTGTCCATTTCTACTGATCAAATTTCAACTAAGAAATATGACGCACATGATTTAAGATGACCGGAATTGACTTTTCCCCCCGCCCCATTTCAAATAGACTTGTGTTTGTACAGTAAACTCCTGCTAACTCATCACTCCAAAGGAAAAGGGTTCAGTTACAGTTAGGCTTATGGTTACTTGCAGAAATAAATGCATCCAGGATGTTGACATCATGATGGCTTAAGTGTTAGTGACAAGTTAAACCAAGGTTGAGTTATGAAGAGTTTGCTCTCTTCTGTAAATGCTCTTTAAAGATAAGTATTGAGAAACATCGAGAGGACTTCAGTTAATACAATACAGAATTCCTGGCACCGTTAAAAACTGAAGCATATTTAATTTTGCAGTAAAGCAATTAATTATTTCTGGAGACTTGAATTAATTAATTAAAACTGAAAGTACTTCTAACTCTTCAGATTAGGGTACAGAAATGTGCAACATATTTATCACCATCTATTACATTAGCAAACTTGGAAGGGATATTGAACTTAATTTAGGCTTAAGCCTCATAGTAGTAAAAAGTAGTTTCATTAAGGGATTCTATGTTAACTCTGCCAACTTAAAAATGTATTTATTGTCAATGTTTGTGACCGCATAAGTACTTGGGAGCTCAAGAGTAAAAGACAAATAACCACATTTTGGATTTAGCTGAATAGATTTCCAGTGTTAATTAAAAAAGCAGATAAAACAAATCCAACATTGGCAGGCTGCCCACGGAATCAGTCACCTCAGAGTATCAGATAGCACAGTAATATTTTTAAGCCAGTGACTTTTCAGCTTGGTGGAGTTTCAGCAAATGCATGGCAGAAATCAAATGAATGCTTCCTGAAGCTGAACTCATACTGGTATTTGTCAGCTGACAAAGTTTCACTGCACCTCATTTTAAATAGTGAATCTATTGATTTTGTTATAGCTGACTGCCTGGATCTGTGTTCATACAGTGCCAGTCTTTTTCTCAGAAATCCACTGAGATAGGAAATGTCACTGATGGTGCAATTAGATTCAAGAAACAGTGATGGATGTTATTCTTGGAGTACACACTGGATATGCAAAACACCTTAATATACAGACAAAGTGCCCTGTCTTTACAATGGATCAGTGCATGTCTGACCTGCAACATTTAGGCTCCTAGTCCCGTGTGCTGAGTGTACCATGACGGTTCCACTCCAAAGATCTGGCAAAACACTTTCATATACAATCTGTTCTGGCATTTTATCTGCTTTACTCATTTTCAGGTGTTGTAAGCTTGTTTTTTATATACATATTTGATTTCTAATTATGAGGCTTACAGTATATAAGCATTATAAAATGTATGACTCACTCTAAGGTTCAATTCACTAAAAGAGTTTGCAATACTTTGTCTGTAATTTCCTGGCAGCTATTGGATACAGTATATCTAATAAATTGTGTTAACTGCAGTTCTTGAGATGTTGCTCTGCATCCATTGACAGGTTGTTCTGGTTAACTGGGCCTGATAAGAGTGTTGATGTATCTCAAAGGTGAATTGTAAGTCAGGTCGCTCATTCCACAGAATATATATTGTATCCTATCGACAGTTTTCCCCCAGCTTGTTGGTTCTTACCACCAACTATTACAGAGTGGGTATAACATTGGTTGCCACAAAATACACAGCCACACCACATTACAGTATATCCCATGAAGTGCTTTGAGACGTCTCAATGATCTGATAAGGCGCTACATAAAATCGAAGGATTATTATTAGTGTGGCAAAGGAAATTCAGTGTCGAAAGGTAGATAAGAAGTGTTATCTTATATGAAGAACATTTAAGCAGATAATAATAATCCTTGCATTTGATATAGCGCCTTATCACGTCGTTGAGACACCTCAAAGCGCTTCACAGAATACACTGTAAAGTGAATTGACTGTATATTTTGTGGGCGAAACACGGCAGCCAATTGCGCACAACAGTGTCCCACAAATAGTCGTGGATTGAGTGACTAAATTATTATTATTTTTTATAAACATTACAAACAGCAACAACTTGCTATTACACTTCACTTGCTATAAATGGGATAGCATCTCAGAGCGTTTACAAAACTCTTTACAAAAACTGCAATCTCAGAAAGAATATACAAAAAGTATATAAATATATATCATTAAATAAAAAGACCCTCCCACCAGTGTGTGTTGGGGGCTGAGGGAGGGGGCAAGCAGATAGGATGCTTGAGCAAGTCAGCTTCAGTTCATATTGGTCAGATGGTTCAAGTTGAAGTGAACTCATCATGCGCCATCCTGCTGAACTCAAACGTGAACACAACCATTAAACCAGAGAAGCTGGAGCCTATAATACATTAATTGTCTCGTGCCATGATTTGACAGATGCAACTTTGTAAACTTCTTCTTTTTTTAGATCCCCTGACCCTTTGGAGCCTAAAATGCCTGATGCTTTATACATTTTACCCAAAAGTATCATAAGGTTGTTGCATCTTGTCATTTTTCTTTCCCAAAACAGTTTCAGTTGAATTTAGGTTCAAAACGCCAAAGAAAGCACTTTTTCTTTTATTATCAACACTCATTAATCCGGCAAGATCAATAGTGGAACCATACATCCCTCGGAAAAGTAACCACCTTTAAGAGAGGAGAGTATGTAAGAAAACTGGTGGAGAAAGACTGATGAAAAAAATCCAGGGTTGGTCTGACAAACAGTTGACAAATTTGGGGTGACAATGCACATGTGTAATAAATAAACCAGCAAGTGATTTAAGGACTTCATCCTTCAAAAACGATTTCCAATAAAGTGTACTTGTTAATAAAAAAATACTGTTTAATTTCCAGTGCATACCACACATTGACATTTCAACACGGATACATTTATTGAGCTACTTTTAATTATTTCATGGTTTGAAATTCTTGATGTATTGGTACAGTAGTGACATAGATTAATGTTTTATTTAGCTCAGCAAACAATTTCTAAACAGTGAACACAGCACAACTATTAACTAAAAGGCAGGCTAGGCTAAGTAGGGAAAAGATTGTGCATACAATTCAAAAGTGAGCTTCTGAACAGTCATAAAAACTGGCTACATAACCATTTTTTAAGGTTTATTGCATTCACCCTTTAATTGGAAATGAAATAATGGCAAATTTTTCATTTTATTGCTACTGCTTTGACTGCAATGAGTGAAGTTCTGGCTAAAAGTTTCATTAAAAGGGTGAATGCATTATATAAGGGTGGTATTATAAAACAAGGTTATGTGGAGATAAAGTTAACTCAATTTGATAGATTGCAAACGACAAATGACTTATGAGCTTTTATGTGCTTTTATAATTTTGCAAGGGTTACAGTGTAATACATCAAATACGAAATGTAAAGTGATTGTTTGAAATATATAAAATAACACAAGATATATTGAATACATTTTTGTTTTGTTGTGAATCAGGTGTGGGGTATGTTTAATATTCTCGCTGAAGTGAGAATCAATGCATCGTAAAATGAAGGTAACAATTTCCTGTGACAAATCAACTACTCAGACAATGTTACAGATTCAGATTCATGGTAAAGAAACTATCCACGAATTTGCTGACAACTTGTATTTATACAGCATCTTTTATGCAGGATAACAACAACAACCAAATTACATTTGTATTAGCGCCTTTCACATCGGGAGGATGTCCTAAGGCGCTGGACAATCAGTGGTTCAGATCCGAGCTGGGGGTTGGGATCGGGAAAGTGGACAGCATGTGACAGGGTCGGACACTGAGCAAGGAAGGGGTGGGAGGTGGAAGAGAGAAGTGACTTGGTGAAAGACAGACAAGTCTCAAAAAAGAGTCCTGCAGGCTATAACCAGGTGGAATTTTGGACCTCAGGCTTCCTGTTCCATGTCACTGTATTGTTGGCAGCAAAGCAACTACGGTCAGGCACTAGAATAAGTAGAACAAAGTAAGTTTCTTTAATGTCTGCCATGAATTTGGAGTTGAAACTTATTATTTAAATTTTATTTCTTTTTCTAGTCTAAAATATCCATCAGCGTTGAGGAATGGGAAGATACAAAAGACACCAAAGATTACACCAGCTATCGCACAAATCACCACCGGAACTCCACATCAAGCGATCAGTCAGAGCATCCCTTACTGAGACGCAAAAGTATGCAGTGGGCAAGACGGCTTAGCAGAAAAGCACCAAAACACTCCAACAAAGTGACAGAAAGGATCAGTCGTCAGCGCTTGACGTTATGCAAAAGGTCAGAGAGACAAGAACTGGCTCACCTAGTGAAAAATCGAATGAAGCACCTAGGCCTTTCACCGACAGGTTATGGTAAGGGCCAAATGCTAATCCTAGCTGCTTTTGTTTGGACACGTTTTAAGATGCATGAAAAGTCACAAACATGCTGTGAAAATCTTGACTATATCCTCTTACCTTTACTGCATTTTGGCACACTAAAATGCTGTCTTTACTCAGATCACAAAGGGAGAATAATACCCTTTCATTGATTGGTATCACTCAGCACAGCGTACAAAATGGGCAAGAATGAAACTATGAAATGACACAAATGCTGAGGAAACTGTTTTCAAAAAGAAATAATGGTCATAAATATGTGTAGAAAAGAGCACATCTTTTGGACCAACTTCAAAGATGTGTTATTGAAATTCAGATGAAGAGACACAGTTTGCTCAAGTTTGACTCCTTGAATATGCTCCAGTTCTGCAACTCCCACCTTAGCCATCTGCTGCTTCACATGGATCAATGCAATATCAGATACAATCCTCTCTTCCCTGAACCCAATTTACAAATCTAAGGTTTGAGGTGCTGTGCTAAGGAGCTTATTATACAAAATTGTTCATCCTAATACAGATATTAACGAAATTACATCCTTTTGTCCTAGCTGTTTTAACGTCAAAATCCCACATGCTTTTCAGAGCCACTTGGTAGCTACAAAAGGTTATCTCAAGGTATAATTCCAACTACTTGCCTTTTCTATTCCACCTTTCTGTAGTTGCCAACTTTCTGGTATTTGTTCTTCAGCTATTTAATCACTGGATGCTTCTGGCTATTGCCTATAATGGCATAAGTATTCTAACAATTCACAAGGTTGGTTATCTTGCTTCTTGCCCTAGCAGGTCAATGTAATTTCCACACAATGTTTGGGTAGTTAGCTACTGATATGGATGTTGTCAGGTTCAGCAAGTTTGATTATTGGATGCCAAGCAAAACATCTCAATGTCAGTAAAGCAGAAGGAGAAAGACGTGGCCAAATAAAAATCCCCACTTCCCATAAGATGAAATCACAACTCTAATTGATTTTGCCCAAGAGAACAGGAGCTTTCCTTTCTGTTAAAGGAATATCTCTTTAGCCTTGTTCACATTACATGAAAATGTCCTGCGGTAATTTACAAGTATTATTCCAAGGCATGAATAAAAGAATGCAACAATCTGACTGGATTCATTACCAGGAATCTCTTTAATGTTTTATCAAGGTAAGACAAATAGTAACTTCTCCTTTGGATAGATGCTGTGCCCTAATACTACTCAGTTGTCAGGATGTTTTAAAATTATTTTTATTATTATAAATTACTAAATTTGTAAGAGATAAATCATTTGCTGTGTGAATTTAATTTCTCCATTTTTTTGTGGGGTAATGCCCAGATTATTAGAAATATTTCTGAATCCTCAGGTCCAACTTCAGCAGTTGCTGGGCAAAGAGGTGTCATGTAGTATTAAAAGCCAATCTTAAACATGTCCCCCGACATACCTGCTCAAAAACATTGTATGATACAAGACCACCCACAAAAAAGAAAATCATCCCATAAAACGGAAGTCGCAAGCCTTTTTTTAAAAAAAAATCACTCCGTAGTTTTTGTTTGCCTACTATACAGAAATTTGGGAGAGGGAAGGAGCGGTGGACAGATTTTTTCTTACATTTTTATTTTTTTTATTTTATATTTATTATTTCATTTTCTTACATGGTAATCTGCGAGCAGTTAGATTGATGGAACACTACCACTGGGAGGAGAACAAGAAGCTGCATTCAAACTTGAAATTTGATTTCATTCCTGCTTGTGACTCTGAGAAAGTGTTGTAATTATAAACTAAAGTACCAGGGTTTGCAATTTTATTCTTTTGGAGAAATGGAATTAGCAAACTTCTCTCTGAGTCATATCCAGGTTAAGATTGTTGCTCAGGGTGGAAAGAATCAATTGAATGTATCCTGCCTTGAAAAGGTAACTTCGTGGACAATGTTTGTAAATATTTTGCCCTTGAACCCCAAACTCATCCTGGGGATTCAGAGGCAAATAGTGATTTATTTTCTAGACACATGTTGGGTGGACGAGGCAAGGCATGTCAAGCCCTCCATTTTTCATTCTATTATCTCCCTTTCCCTGTTGTGTTTCTGACTTTTTATACTATTTTCTACCTCTTTTTTTTCTTTAAATCCTGCTTTAACTTTTTTCCGCCACCATTAATTTTGCATTATTCACTTTGCTTCTGACTTCCAGCTTCTTCCGCTCAATTTGAATTTTTCTGTTGAATCAATTTTTTTTAAGAAAAATCTAAATTGTACGGATGTGCGAATCAAAGGGAAAGTATCTGAAGATTGACTGGTTTTGCAACATCAACATGGCCCAGTCAATCTCTGATCCAATTTTAAAGCAGCAAGTCAGGATTGGAGATCAAAAGCATACACTGACAGCATGTGGGGGAACAGTGACCCGAGGTGCATTTATATTAGCGGTGGTCCTCTAATGGTTAAAATCAAATGAACATTAATAATGCCAATCATCTATCTTATAGCACTTAAAAATAATGACCAATGAAAAGCAGATTTGGGATTTTAGTGCAGATAGTGATCTGTACTTAGCCTAAACCTGATATAATTTTTTTTCTATTGTATTCATAGAAAAAAAATCCCAAAGCAAACGGTCCCTCTCACAATCGAACTGTGGCAGAAGAATGCATTGGCAGGTCCAATACATCAGAGGGCTTATTTTCTAACCTTACTGTTCATTAATCACATATTTTTTTCTAAAGTGTAGTTTCCAGAAGTGCTTCAGCATTCAATCATCTATTGATTTATTTATTTTTGACTTACTTTAATAAGAAAGGGTGGATGTTGCATAGCAACAACTTAAAAGTGAACCATGGTGCTTTCCATTTGAGACAATTCATACGGGCAGATTGAGAGAACAGTAAATGGATAAAATGCTGCATAAGATTCTCTGCTTTAAGGGATACTCTTCATGAAAGTCATGCTTTGCAAACCTATTATTTGTGACCAGAAAAGGGGTCAGGAAAGCTATGCAACATTTTATGGATAATTGCAGAGACAAATTGGCAGCGAGATCAAAGTTGATGGTCGACATTGTACTGCATCTTTCATGATAAAGCATTTTTAAAAGTGTAGCATAAATTTGGGTTAACCAATACAGTTTGGAAGTGGGTTGCATTGGAGCCCTGAGCAACAATTCACCTCGTCCTCCTGCAGTGTGAACGTAAATCTATTCTGTGTCTACTGCAGTCCAATGTACGGTCCATGGGGGGTGGACCAAGGCAACAGGACCAAGAGGGCCTAGGTTCAGGTTATTATTGGCAATTTTAGGACAGGTCCCTAGAAACTATTTTTGTATACTAAGTAATTCCTGGTTGTTGTTGTGGCACTCTGATGTGCATTGTACTTGGAAGTTAGAACCTGATAAGGGATAAAAAATGACAGTATTACGCATTTTACCATTATGTTTCAGAAATGTATCAATGTATAGTCAATCTGTGTCAGGTTTGATGATTACTCACCACAGAGATAAAGTTGACATGAAAGGTAAACTATGAGTGTTTGCTCATAGCACTTTGTTAAAATCAAAGGAGAGATTGTATACTGTCAGTTAATACTTAATCTGACCAGAACAAGTGAAATAGTTCAAATAATCCCCTTCACTCATAGCCAAGATTATTGACATAATTCCTCTTGAAAAATCAGAGAACCAATTCTCATGGGTAGGAACATAAATGTTATTCATCATGTAAAATCCTCAGGGTTTCCAAAAGAAACCAGAATGAACAGTACGAGTGGCAAGAGTTACATCACCTACTGGCAAAGTCCCACAAACATCTATGAAGTTAATATGACCAATTTATCTGAAGGATTTAGTGGCCGGGGCACTGGGAGAAAATTCCCTTCTCTTTTTGAATAGTTCCATCGGATCTTTAACAGCCACACACAGGATCTTGGTTTAATGTCTTATCTGAAGGGCAACAATGCTGGGAGAGTATTGTGGAGGTACCATTCCTTCAGATGAGACATTAAAGCAAGGTGCAATCCATCTGTTCAAGTGGATGTTAAAACTCCCATGGTACTATTCAACAAGAGAAGGGTGTTTCTCCCAGATACTTGACCAACAACCTCCCAGATTACATTGGTCATTCATTCCATGGCTGTTTGTGGCACATTGCTGTACTCCTGCCCCTTCACCTACAAAAGACTGAATCACTACATTGTACAAAAAATCTTGTAAAGAGTTTTGAGATGTTCTCCTGACATAAAAGGTGCATGATATCAAATGTAAGAATCATTTTTAGATTCTTTTAAAAAAGGCTGGAAATACTAATTTATTGGTGTCTCCAAACTGTTCCCTAGTCTGTGATTTTTGGAAAAAAAAAAAATTTTCACCCTGGTATCTTTGGAACAGGTGAGTAGACAGCTTGCTGAAAACAGACTGGAAGGTTGCAAAGAAGTAACCCTGTTGTTAATTGTCCTTTATTAATATAATGGACAGCTGGTTGGGATTGGCATTTGCTTCTTAATTTTCTAAACGTTTTGATTTAGCCACGCATTGTGTCTCTGTAACCATTCTCGTTTGTTTTGTTGCAGTCATTTAAGTGCTAACCATGCAACTGGAGTGATCATTAACTGATAGTTCAGTGGGTAAATATACAATTTGGCCTGGGATTAAATCATGCACATGGGAAAGTCCACTTCATGAGCCTGTACTCAAATTTATTTTAAAAGGGAATGAGATAGATGCTTTAAAAAGAAAATAATATTCTAGGGTGTGGGAAGCGAGTAGAAAAGTGGGATTAAACAACATCAACTTGCATTTATATAGCACACTTCATGCGGGTAGCATCTGTGAGTGCTCAGAGTAATTCAAGTAGGTGCTGCAAAACACCAGTACCACCTTGATGGGCTGGGTGGGCTTTTTCTGTACATTAACATTCTGCGATTCTAGTCTATGCTGAGGCCACAATAGGGATGCAATGTTTGGCCTCAGTGTCCTCAATTAGGAGGGAAAAATTAGCTACAGTCCTGCTCTTGACCTAGTCAC